TCGAACGCAGAATAAGCAACGGTTGGAGTAGATACTGGGGCATGAGAGAGATCATGAAAGACAAGAAGTTAAACATTAACACTAAGAGCAAACTATACAACACCTGCATTCTACCTGTCCTCGTGTATAGCTGCCAAACATAGGCTCTAACACAAAATTTAACTAATAGACTAACGCAATGGAGATTTTAATACTTCTATCTCCATACTTGCAAACTTAAATTATATTTGTTATTTTATTGTAACTTGTAAGCAGATCTGAATAAAAGGCTATTTTATTTTTATTTATTTTTATCTACTCTGTTAACCCACCATAAAGCCTCCATTACCTAAAGTCGGCTATAATATTGCTCGCAAGTAACGCCCTAAACAAGGTACTCTAGCGACAGAAACCCAAACAACAGTGCGCGCGGAAAAAGCTACCGCTGACGCTACTCTCCGACAGATGGATCTGTGAGGGGTCACGCTGAGTCAACATGACATAACGAATATTCTCTACCAATTTTTTTTTTTTTTTTTTTTTTCGGTATAGTCGAAACTTACTATAATTGTTTTATATTATCTATTGATTTCATCCATATAGACTATAAACAAGTTCAACAACGTTAAATATCTTCTCATCCCGTTTAATAAGGTTAGTAAATCGCGCGAATGGTCTGCAAACCAGAAGACAGATGGCGTTAGATGTTATGATTTAAATTATGTTGTGGACCTGTGTTATTTATAATTTCGTTTCGTTTTTATCTTTACTTTTACTATTATCTTATTTCTCTTTTGTAATGAAACTTAATTCAATTGAACATTATGTCACCTTGTGTTGTTTTCTACTACACTAATGCTGTTTAGAATATAGTTTAACTCCAAATTATATTGTAAGTAACTATATAAAATTAATTATTTTATATATATAATAAGTATAAGTATAAGATATATGTATGCATAGAATTAGGCTTAGTATTAAGTTAGATATTAGTAGCACTGTACCCAGGCAGCAATCAGACAATTGTATCAAATCGCTTAGAAGAAGACTGCTGCCTGGACCTTGCGAACAAATTGTAATTAACTTAGCGAGTAAGGACATGTAAAAAAAAAAAAAGCATTTGATGGAATGTGGCTTTCGTAAGATATCTCTCAATTAAAGCATTTTAAAGCCGATAGATGGCCTCAATAAATTATAAATTGCCTTTAAAAATATTATAGCATCTTAATTTTTTTTTATATTAAGTTATAAAGATTTCGATAATAATAATAAATCTTTTCTCCATGGAGCTTGTATAAATTTGATTCATTGTATATTTTAATATTGTTTAGGCCAAACACAAGTATTTGGTTGTAATGGTTTAATAAGCGGTAAATACAGAGTTGCAAATAGACAAATTGATCGTTGCGCGTATGCATCGGCGGTCGAAAGCGGAAGTCCAAGTGACGTTTCGTGCCACCGCACGTCGGTTCGCACCGGTAGTGGTGTTGCCCGCACCTCAGGCGCGAACATCCTCCCCGGGTTGAACATCTTTGTTCAAAGAAGCAGAGTGATGGGCCCATGGCTGTGGATAAGCAGACGAAGGTGGTTGTAAGGCAAGAGTCATGATGTAAGAGTGGTAAGTAGATTCTAGTCGAAGGGAAGCGGACAGATGTTTTTGTAGCTTCGCAGAACAGTTCTCCCTTTCATCTTCAGTTCTGCCACTCTTGAACCGCCATCGACGCCAGGGTAAATTTTGGTGACTCGTCCCAATGGCCACAGTAGGGGAGGTTGACCTGCTTCCTTCAATAGTACAAGAGTCCCCACAGATAGATTTCCTGTTGAATGGAACCATTTAGTCTTAGTTTGAAGTAAAGAGACGTATTCTTTAGAAAATCGCTTCCAAAAATGTTGCTTCATATAATTGATTCTTTCGTAACGTTGCAATTGCTCGACCTTCATGTTTGTCACCTGTGGATAAGGTACAGATAAAAGAGATCGTCCGATTAAGAAAAGGGAAGGAGTAAGAGCAGATAGGTCAGCGGGATCAGATGAGAGAGGGGTGAGTGGACGGGAATTCAAAACGGCTTCAATTTGAGTTAGACAAGTGGTGAGTTCCTCATATGTAAAGTGGGTCATTTGCATCAAGCGCCTAAGATGATATTTTGTCGAACGAACCGCTGCTTCAGCAATGCCGTTGAAATGTGGAGAATATGGAGGGGCAAAGGAAAATTTAATACCCTGCTGAGCGGCCTCCGACGG